AGCAGAGACTGGCGGATGCAAGTCTATTTACCTGGGGGCCTGGTTCCACGGAGGACTGTTTGGGCCTCTGCCGCACAGCACTTGACCTCGGTGGAGAAGAGGAGAAGGACATTAAAAGCCCTGGTTCCCCCTTTCTAGCCACCCGAGGCCGTATAATCTAAGGTTAAGAACTTCGAAGTCAGAATAGCCGGATTTTAAGCCTCAGCTCTGATGTTTCATGAATTCTATAGTCTTGGATAACACACTCCATCTCTTTGAGTCTCTTTTCTTATCTGCAGAAATGGGGAAAAAACAGTGCCTGCCTGAATAGGGCTGTTCTATGCATGAAATAGAACAGCATAGGTAATGTGTTAAGATTCCTAGTCAGCCCTGACCAGTTTGCCTCAGTGGCTAGAGCGTCGGCCTGTGGACTGAAGAGTCCCAGGTTCGATTCTGGTCAAGGGCATGTGCCTTGGTTGCGGGCACAACCCCAGTAGGAGGTGTGCAGGAGGCAGCTGATCGATGTTTCTCTCTCATGGATGTTTCAAACTCTCTATCCCTCTCCCTTCCTCTCTGTAAAAAATCAATAAAAAAAAATATATATATTTTAAAAAAAGATTCCTAGTCTGTGCTCAGAATGAGTTGCTGTTCCCACTGTCTCCTCCCAGTAAGATCCCTTAGACCAGCAGTTCCCCACCTGTGGGTTGCGACCCCTTTGGCAGTCGAACGACCCTTTCACAGGGGTCGCCTGAGACCATCGTGCATATCAGATATTCACATTACAATTCATAACAGTAGCAACATGACAGTTATGAAGTAGCAACAAAAATAATTTTATGGTTGGGTCACAACATGAGGAACTGTATTTAAAGGGCCAGAAGGCTGAGAACCACTGCCTTAGACCTACACACCCTCCTTTTCCACAATCCCAGCTCTGGCCGGTTGCTACCAGTGGGAGGTGCATGAATAAAAGAGGAAGATTTAGCAATGGAATTCCATCCAAAGGTGAACTCATCTGTTCCCTTGTCTCCAGCATGACCTCCCTCCAGACTGAGGGAGCTTCTAATTTTAAGAAGGAAGTCCCAGCTTCCCTTCCCTTACCCTCCAAGGAAAAAAGGAAAGCGCTGGCTGGTGTGGCTCGGTTGGTCTGGGTGTGGTCCCTAGAGGTAGGGGGTTTAATTGCTGGGCAGGGCACAAAGTCAGGTTTCGGGTTCCATCTCGGTTGGGCGTGTACGGTGTCAGCCAATCCATGTTTCTCTCTCTCCCCCTTCCTCTCTCTCTCTCTCAAATAAATAAAAAAGGAAAAAGAAATCAATACAAATATATATTAGAGAGAGGAGAGAGAGCGAGAGAGCGAGCACTTGTAATTTTCCACCCTGCTTGTTTAGGTGCTGCCATATGAAATCCCTGCAGTGGAGATTCTCATCAGCCTTCCTGGGCCCCAAGGACGTAGCTCCGGCTGTAAACGGTGCTGGTGTTGGTGGTAGAGCTGCCGCCGCGTTATCTGGGCCCAATAAACCTTACCAAACTGCTGTGCAGCCAGTCTCCAGTGCTACGTGGAAATGCTCCGAGCCCAGCGCTGGCACGCAGCCTGCCTTCCTCCTTTTTGTTACCTTCTCCACCTCTTAAACTCAGACATTAATCTCTCCTTAACACTTTCTAACAAGGGCCGGGCTTTTTAATGGCAGAGTTTATGAAGCAAGGGAGATTTTCACATAGAGTGAGTATGGTATGGCGGCGGGCGGGGGGAGTCCGGGCCATGGAGGAATTGTTCTTTCTCTCCCATTGTTCCCAGAGGTTCCCTTTTTCTGATTTGAGGATTATTAATAGGCCTAGGACCAAGGGCTAAGCCTGCTTCTGCCGTCACTGCATTTGGGAGCGGCTGGGCTGGCAGTGGTGTGGACAGCCAGGCCGCAACCTTCAGTAGACACCAGGAACACAAGTGTAAGGATTCCCTACTTCCCTGGTGAGGAGGTAGGAGGGCCTTTTCTCCTCTCCGGACATCTCTCCCCACTTGCCCTCCTTGCAGACCAGTTTTCTTAACTATGACAGGATTGCTCTTTATTGTTAATGAGAAGGAACACCCAGGGCCTGGGCTTTCCCGGGCACCAGGTGGGCATTGCGGTTCCAAGCGGCTTCTCTGCCCCCGGCTGCCCTCCCCCTTCCCGGACGCTGCAGGTCCCAGCACTGCCCTGGAGAGAGAGAGGCAGGAGCGGTGCTGGCTGGGCTGGAGCGGCCTGTCCGGGGGACTACCCCGTTAGTTAGTAACTCTTGGGAACCCAGATCAGTTGATTTGTAAACTCTGCCTTCTGGCCTTTCGCACCCGGAAGCGGATTCTTGTCTCTAGTTGGCTTCTGCCACCTTCCTTGACCCCACAGCTCCTGGGCCGGACGCTCGGCCTGGCGCGGTGCCAGAGGCACACATCGGGAGGCGATTATCCGTGAGTATTGCGGAAGGCCTTTGACCCGCCCGCGTGCCAGGGGCAGAATGCGGAGGCTCAGGACTCCCTGATTGAGACCCGGCTTTGCTAAGACTTGCATGACCTCAGGCGCTGACTGTCCCCAGCCAAAAACCCCCACTCCAGCCTCTGCTCCTGAACGTTAGTGGGTCACCCCTGCCTTCACGCAGCTGCGCGCTTCCCACTCTTTGGCCCCCTACCTTCGCAGGGGAAGGGGCAGAAGGGGACTCCGCGCCGCCGAGGCGGACCGATTCCTTCTGGTTGCTCTGCCCCCAGGTTAGTGATCTCCACTCTGAAGTGGAGCGGCCCGCCGAGAGGGGGCGCTTTGGGGGCCTGGACTTGGGCAAGCTTCCACCGCCCCCTGAAGACTGCGCCGAGCGGGGCGCAGCGCTCGGGAACTGTTTCCAGCCAGGTCACTTGGGGGGCACAGCCGAGGGCACGCGTAAGACTGAGAAGGATGAAAGTTTCTTCCAGGCTTCGACCTCAGTCCCCAGGGATCGCGACAGCCCAAATGGGACGTCTGCCTCCAGGGACGGGTCCCGCGGACCCTCTGGCACTTGGCTCGCCAATTCGGTTGCTCTTCGCCCAGAGGCACGCGGCGGCCAGCAGGCACGCAGGGCCTGAGCTTGGGCTGGGAAGGCGACCTTCCCAAACCGACCTCGGGTTACAGGGGACGCAGCCCTGAGCCTGGAGCAAAAGTGAAAGGCGAGATGACACGCACGGAACTGGGGCGAACATTGGAGCCCGGGACGAAACTCCCCTCCTGGAGCAGCAGGGGGGAAACCGTGTCCGGGGGAAATGAAAAACCCGGGGGTTGAAGGCGGGGCTGGCCCCCGCACCTCATCTCTACCGCCCCGCTAAGGGCTCGGAGCCCCTGGCGCTGTCCTCCGTGAGCTCCTTTCCTCCCCGCTTGGC